TAAGTAACCACAAATTATTTGAATTAAAGTCCATTTATTTGGTAAGTGGGTGTAAGATAAGGAATGGGAACAAATTAAAAAGAAAAAAAAAGGAGTTTGGAGATGAAGCACCAGTTTATCCTAATGAATCCAGAATGAATGCTGAAGAAATGTCGTCAGAAACACCAACTAAAGCCTCTGCTTACACAGAACATGAAAGGTACTTTACATAACCGAGACAAAACAGATTAACTCTGATAATTTCTCTGCCAGGTCAGGAACAACTTTTCTTTTCTAGAGCAACTTGATACCAGATTCAACGTTCATTTTTTCAAGTCGGAAGCCTGATGCACAATGACAGCCGTACTTCAAATGCAGTACATACAAGACATCCTACTCAAGGATGCTTCACCTCTGGGTCCCACACAACCTTCAGCACCAGGTAGGTGCCAGCAGCTCTACCACTGTCAAGGGGAAGGATAGTTCAGTGACATTGAGACTGTTTAAAAGTAGTCACTTGATTACACATGGCAGAAGGAGCCAAATTCTCCACTTAGGTTGCAGTCGTGCTGCCACAGGTAGCCTGCAAAATGGATTCATTTAAACAGCCTATGCAATTTGGCATTGGAGACACCACCTAGAAGTCATTTCTGTCCATGGATAATAAGAGTGCAGAAGCAGGTTTTCCCACAGCATTTAGGCATTTTCCCTTCTGATTATTCTTCCTGGTCATCTCCCACCTACGACAGCTGGCAATTACAGTCTGTCACACAAAAAACAAAGGGTTGGATGACAGAAAAATCAAAGCAGCTGCACAGAAACTTGCACTGTGAGTAAGCCAGGACCTACCTCCCTCACTTGTTAAGCAAGGGTAGTAAAATACCGGAACAGGTTGCCCAGAGAAGTGGTAGATGTGCCATCCCTGGAGACATCCAAAGTCAGGCTGAATGTAGTTCTAGCCACCTTATCTACTTGGAGTGTCTCTGCTCATTGCAGGGAGGTTGGACTAGATAAGCTTTGAAGTTCCCTTCACACCCAAATTATTCTGATTCTGTGATTTCTCATCAGGATATAAAAGATAAAAGGTAAAGAGAGATATAAAGAACCTCACTTCACGCCCAGTAAACAGGAGGGGGGAAATGCAGACATTATCTGCAGGGAAGAAGGGTAACAGTTTTCTTTTCCAGTGACTGTATGGTAAAATTTCAAAACCATATTAAAATAAAGAGGAACAAAAAAGGCAACAACCATGGGATGAGACACCACAGCCACTGAAGGAAAAGGATAATTTGTCTGGCAAGTTTTCTCTGGGCCACTTAACTACCATGACAGTTATTTATTCTTCCTTCTCCCCTTCTGCTAAACATTTACTATTCCACACAGCACTCAACTTTACCATCAGAGAGGATGGCGACCGATCAGGAGAAACCCAAGTCACAGTGTGTTTAGCTTCCATCCCATATTCCAGTCTTACCAGACACCCAGGAAGAGATGCTTACCTGGGTGTGGGAAGGCAGTGCTAAGTTTCTCTTGGTTTTTACTTCCACTTTCTGATAAAACAGAGTGCAATCAACAGTGGCAATGCACTGCACTTTTGCTGAACATAAATGCCAAGAATCAATACAAATTATTATTTAACTGCACTATATATATAATACAGACAGTTGATTTTGCTTAATCTCTTTGCCCTCACCTCTACAAAAACTCTGTTGGTACAGCATAAGTAGTGTGCCAAAACATTAGAGTTAAGTATTTAAGGTAATAAATTTTTGTGCTTTTTCACACATCTGCTTCACATATGGAGAAACAGAATACCTAGTAGTTAGCTGTTCTAATTGTGTTACAGTGTAAAATGTCAGAATTAAATCTGTGATGCATTTGGAAATCTATGACATAAACTTAGCTTGGAACCACAGAGTTATCTTTGGAGTTTTCACTGGGTACTGGATAGTTTGGTCTTTCAGGTTGGAAGAGCTGTGCTTCACTGTGGCCAGAAATGGGTTAGGGAGACTGTCAAACAAGATTGGCTCAAACCCTAGTAACCCTTATCATTCCTCTTTAGAGAGGTTATTTACAAATAGGTCAGCAAGACTTGGATTCCCATGCTTTGTATTTTCATTCTGGCAGAAAGAGCATGCACACATGATAGAGCAAAAGAGATCTCCCCTGGACAGAATAAGCCATGTAGTAAGTTATTGTCTCACATAAAGTATCTGTAGTGAGAGAACAAGACTGTATCCATCAATACACAAAGTTTGCACTGGCTTCATTCAGGTGCTGCTCACAAATCCCAAACCTCTCGTCTCCTCTAGCACATTCAGATGCAGAGAAAAGTACCTTAGAAAATGATAGCTGATTTTATCCTCTCAAAGGAAACAAAAGAACACTGTAGTACTTGCTCAGTATTTTGTAATAGGATCAATGTTGTTCCTTCTGTGTTGTCCCTGTACAATCTGCGCCAGGCAAGATTAGGGCAAGAGAGCAGGACAGGTCTGATCCAAACCCATTGAAAGCAATTGAAAGATACCTGCTGACTTCATCAGGCTTTGCATGCAACCCTTTGAGAATCACCGAGGATGTTACAATACTTCTTATGAAGCCGCATACCTCAAGTATACTAGAGTTTATGCTTGCTAAAACACCACGACAGAGCTCTCGGCTGCAGAGCTAATGGTGCAGCAAGGCTGACTGTCCCAGCAGAAAGCACAAGCACAGCACTTAGTAAGGTTATCAGAGGAGGAGCGAGAGGACAATTTCCATATTCCTACCATTAGTTGCTTTAAATTTGTCATGCTGAATGAGAAGCTTGGAAAGGTAACCTGGCTATTATTAACATGCAGAAATCTGACTGCAAAGATGCCAAGAGAGGCAGGATAATCTTTTGCTTGAATGTGTTTTAAGCACAATAATATTGAGAAAAATAACTAATTGCTATAGAAACAAGTTGCAAGATTATCTCTTTCCTGAACTATCCATCAAAAGCCTTTGTGTTATATTTCTTGCATTGTAACAGGATACGGAGCTTATGTCAGAGCCATCTTGATTCTGAAGGACAAAAGGAGCATATATGTGCTAGGAGGGAGAAGGAACAGAGGAGGCCAGTTCTCTCCATATATTCCTTTGGGAACTGTACTTTGTCATAAAAGTAGGATGTTTAATGTTTATGATCTCCAGCATAATTTTAGTTTCATATTGTAGCCATTTTGAGCAATAAAGTGTTACTGCATTCACCTGGAGAGAATTAGAAGTTGTTTTAGCCAGTTCTTTTGAAAAACTGTGAAAATGCTTTCATCCATAAACATAAGAGTTCAGCTTCTGTATTCCTGAAAAGGAGCAGGATGCATGTGAAGGAAAAACACAAATGTCAAATAACAGAATAATTAAAATAAAGAAACACCTGAGAAGGGGGAGTGTCAGGGACGTGGGTGGGACAAATGACTCCTAAGTATTTTTCAGATATTTAGCAAGAGAAAATCTTTTTCCAGAGCTCCAAAACAAAAGCAGATGTGATGAAGAAAAAGACAAGTATTAGCCCATTTTCACGGATGAATTCAAGGAGGAGAGGCACCAGGGTGGTTTGGATAAACAGAACATCTGTGAAGAGCGCAGGAAACTGTTGGATCTTTGGTCCCTACCACGTAGCTGTTTCCCATGGGTTGAAGTAGCATTTTTCTTGGTACAGAAAGGACTATCAGAGGATCTGTCCAAGTACAATATGTAAACTTGAGGGGGCCAAGGGCAGGGTGTAAACTAGCCCTGCTGTCCCAGCGTTACTTCAGAAACAAGCCTCTACACTGCAAGTTTTAAGTGATGTAGAAACCAAGGCCCTCTGACTCTATAGGGAGCTTGCTCCTCACCTAATTACCTGAGGTTTACACTGCTTCCAGTCCCCTGGCTCAGGGCCCACTTTAAATCAAGAAATCAAGATGTCTTGGGCACCCATGCTGCAGTTTCAAATGCCTACAGCACTGAACAATACCTTTGATTTCAGCTGACTTGCTACTTTTCCTGCAGCTTTTCAACAACTTGCCATTTGAAAGCTGAGCTACAGAATCTGAAAACAGGTGGCATAGCTGTATGTTATTTGTATATTAGGTCTGGCCACATGACTATTTCATCCAGGCATGAACACCAGATTTGGAATCCTTTCTGATAGTCAAAGCATTGTAGCCCACCTAAAATTAGTTACATCACTTACCTTCAGTCCACAAACTCATTTTTAGTACCAGCATTTCAACTCTACTTAGCGTAAGCATAGACTTTCTCTGTTTCAGGCAGAAATGCAATGGCTGGAAGCCTAAAAGAAACCCCTAGTAAAACTGTTTATTTTGGGGTTTGATCCCTTGCAAGCAAATAAAAATGCAGATCTTACCACTTCTCCTTCGTTTGCAAAGAGTGATTAGAGGTGCACAGAACTGAACACAGATGTGTCCCATGCTCTGAAAGAAGGAGAAGTGCTGATGTTAGTCTCCTCCAGAAGATTTTCTTTCTCTCTTTTTTTTTAACCCTTTTTGCATGAGAGGAGACTTTAGTACTTCAAAAAAATTTTACTTTCCAGTTTCACTTCCTCTGTCTTATCGTCCTGTCCCTGGTATCTGAACAGGTTATGTCCTGTACATCTACCTCACAGGGATATTTTATGCACAGAATTACCTGGAAAACCAAGATACAGAGGAGGCAGGTGCATGTACAGCAGATGTTGTGACATGGGAGTTTCTCCATATTTTTATCTAAAGATATCACAAAACAGTAGCAGAACTATTATCTACATGTATCTGGCTTCTTATCAAGCAACTTTGCTACAAGATCATCCAACCTTTTGTACTGCAAACTGACAGTTCTTATAAATGTATGATTACATCAAGTATAATCTTCCTCTCTGCACATCTCTGCACCCTTAGTTTGGGTTTAGATCCTCTAGTAACCTGGGTCCGCACAGATTTCCCACAGAGCAGTAATCGTACAAAACTTCATTCCTTTTCGTTTTTCCTCATCCATGTTAATCTAGTCTGTACCCATGGTACATGTATCACCTCTAGATATATTTCTGCATTACTCAGTGGAGTTTATAATTCTCCGCATCTCTTAAAATGGTCTTGCATACCAGTTCATATGCTACACAGTACAGCTAAAGATACTTAAATGAGACATTAAGAATATGAATAATCGATTTACTTGGACAACCTGAGATCCCCCCTTCTCAAGTTGGATGAGTTCTTTTACTTTCATGACATTATAGTAATTGCCTACACCATTTTTGCTGAGATTTTTTTTCCACCTTAATTACCTGGTCATTTACTATTATGGATGTTAATATGGTCATTAAATGTCGCAAACAGCTTTCAGTTTTTACTCGCTGTCCAATTCACATTCCTGCAATTCAGAAATGTCCAGCCATATGCATATTTTTATACTTTGACATGTCTTAAACTATGCTCAATACCAAGTTTATTACAGCATTAAATTGATCTTGCTATAATAATGTATAAATAATCAATTTAATACTATAATAAAACATAAATCAGCTAACTGTGTTGAGTGTGCTAAGCGGCAGTGACATTTGGTGGTCATGCACAGCAACATTTGTACAAGCTTCAGTTGGAGAAGGGGGCAGCTTAATTGGTTCAAAACACAAATGCAGTGCAGCATCCATAATAAACAGCCTGTACCAGCATGAAGGGAAAAAGAATGGGAAACCTGATTTGACTCTTTTCAGACATCCCTTCTCAAACTAATATTCAGATTAAGCAGATATCTTGAATTAGTACCAAGATGCCTTTTTACATTTATATGAAAATACACTAAGACATCTCAGCAGGCATCAAGTTGTTTTTCTTTCTCTACAAACCAAAAGTTTGCAGATCCAGACTCCTACTGCAGTAGCTGGATGAAGTGCAGATTAATGATGTAGCTTGCTTGGATTTAAAGTTGGCTCAAGAAATATTTATACTAATGGAAGATGGAACCAGTACTGGAGGGGTAATACTCCACAGCATGACACATCGTAAGTGCGTGTTAGTGTTCCTTGGTTTTCAGTTAATACATACTCATGTATTTCCACCACCCCAAAGTCTGCCACAGGGCAAAACCCAAAGCATGTGTTGTTGAAGAACTGAAGTCTTCCATGGCAATCACATCAGTATTTACCTGTAGAAATTAGAAGCTTGAGCTAGGACTCCAGAAAAGTGGCCGTATTTTATAATGCAGTTTGCACATTGTATTTCTGAGATATGCTCTCTTACCTTCCCAGGGTGCTGTACTCACACCGTGACACTTACAGAGAAGCCAAGACTGATATGATGAAACATGGTAACTGGCAGTCAAACTTTACTTTGCTGATGGATTAAACTATAACAAATATTGTTTTGACAAAAAGTGTATACTTATCACAGGATTAATTTTTAAAATGTTCATGTTTACTGCATTATCTTTTCATCAAAACCTTAATCCTAAATTGAATTACCAGAAGAGGTTGGGTTTGCTTTTTATTTTCCATCTTTTATGGACTGGAGGGTCTAGATAATGGCAGATGCCCTTAATCCACCACTTCAGCAGAGGCAGAGAACATGAGGAGCAGTTCACCCTCTGCAGCATCAAGCAGATGACAAAGACAGGTCCCTACCAGCAGGATCTGAGGACTCTACCTTTTACCACTTCAGCTGGAAAGACCTCATGCAGGGCATATGCAATAACCTGTTTGAAGGTCAACTGCCTATCTCATGGGCGATTTGCAGTATTAGTCTTCCCAAAAGAAATTTACAATTTGCTTTCTCTGAAGGCACTAAAAATAAATGAGGAAGAGCTATGGGGTTTGCATCATGTCCAACAGTGGGTAACTAGAACATGTGCAGAGAATTTTCAAGGTTTGCACAAACACCATAGACATCATTACCCACAGAAGGCTCACTGCAGATTTACACTAATTATTAATATGCATCTCAGCAGCAGACTTGGCTCAATTCAAAGTGAGATGCAGCAATACCTTGTGTTTGTGTGCAAACCGCCCCAGAAGGTTTACAAATTCAATTCAGGAAAAATACAATGAGCTATGTCAGGGAAGATAAGTGTTATATAGACAGGAAGGCATTACTTACAGTGACTAATCTGCTGGCATAGCTCAAGTGTCTGCCTACAGAAGTAGAGAGAGCAACAGAGATTCATCCTATGTAGCAAAGACGTTTCAAAAGCTCATGGCAGGCATGCACATGGCATAAACCCTGGGTGTTACACAGCCTAGGGCTTTGCTGAGCCTTTGAAAGTCCCAACAGAGGTTCTGGCCCAGGAGAAGACCCTGCAAAGCAGCACAAGAGGCAGGCATTGCACACAAGACTCAGGAGAGCAGAAAGTTTGTGTTTGGAGCAGGTGGGGAATGGGTAGAGGGTGTGGGACACTTGAGGGGGTCCTGTGGGACCCTAAGGAAGGAGAGGCAAGGGCACGTTCTCTCCTTGGCTCCCCGCTCCTGGCAGCATCATCTGACCCAGCCCCAGCCCCATCATTGCACCCCCTTTTACCCCTGAGACATTGTCCCTACAGGCAAGATTTGCCTCAGGTCTGGTTGTACCTGGGTGAGGATGCTACAGTCCCAAATGTTTAAATACGTGTTGTGATCAGGAGGAAGTATTACTGATATACTAACAATAAATTCGTGTCTGTGTACAGGGTGTTTCCTCCTCACGCACAGTATTTTGAGCACAGCAGCAGTAGGGTTTCTTTGGGAAGATGGAAAGCCTAGCCATAACAGTATGCATACAGACTTTGATGATAAGAAACCAATCCTTAACAGAAAATATGATAAGAAACCAATCCTTAACAGCCATAACTATGCATACAGACTTTGAATATGATAAGAAACCATTCCTTAACAGAAAAGTTATCATTTATAAACCTGAAACATTTCTAAAATACACTATATTTATGAGGCTTATCCACAGCAATGTCAAAGCGCCATATGCCATTTAAGCATGGAAGCTGTTATTTCAAAATGTGTTTGGCTCAGACAGTTCTGCTGTCTTAAGTATGATGTGTAAAAGATGCTCCACTCATTTCTCTGCTGTGACATCACCATACTTCAAAACTGGCTTATAAAAATATTTGAGCTGCCTCTTGCCTATCATTGCGAGCCTGGTAGCAGGCTTTCTTCTCAGAAAGGAGTGCCTTCAGCCAGTATTTAAGTGATCTGCTCATCTCTTATCCCCTCCCACCATCAGATCCAGAATCCATTTGCATAATGGTTATACAAAAAAAAAAAAAAAATCTAAGAACTAGGTCACAACTCTGAAGCATGGTCTCCAGCACTTCTTATGTCATCAGTTGCGGTTTGAACAGTAATATACAGGTGCTGGCACCCAAGGCTGCAATGCATCCCTGTTAGATAGCAAGAGCAAAAATACCAGCTGCCTCTACCCATTACCTGCTTTTGGTGAACGTAATAATATTAACAGTTAACTGTAGAATAGTAGTGACCTGCAAACATCTTCCATGCGCAGTCCTGACTCACAATTTATGTCCTTATGTTTGAACAGGGATCTAGTTGTCAAATACCCTGATCCAAGGTTTGCTTTGTTTTTTAAAGAAAGCAGGGGGAAGCTTTCTCTTTAGGGATAGCTCAGTTCAGCTGCAGTTCTTTTACCAGCCTCCAAGTAGGGTTTTTGATGTTTTAAACTTTTCAGATGTTCGACATGAAGGCTCCTTATTGAGAATTCACTATTGCTTAGTCCATCCATGGCATCTTTCATTTGAGGACTGTGCTCCTTTCCTTATCAAACCATTTCTTTGGTAACCTGCCAAAGCATAGCAGGTTGGATTTGTCATAAACCAGCTGGACAGCAGACTGCTGTTCTCTTCCTGTTTTTAAAACAAGTGTTGGGAAAGTTGGGGTTAGAAACAACACATCCTTGCCCCCCCCCCCCCCCTTTTTTTTTCCCAGGAGCATTTTTATTTTAGCTTAATTTTTTTTGTATTTAAAATCTTATTAAAATCAGAATTTGAAGGTTTCCTGAGTTTGTTCATTTATTCCCTCCTTCAGTTTTGCCATGTTTGGAATAAAAGGAAGATTCAAAATCATCTTTGCTGGAAATTTGTAAGCTTCCTTCTTCCAATCAGCCCTATTTGTTCCTATACTGGGTAATGAACAGCCTGTCCTACTTTACACAGCTTTCTGTGGCTGATGCTCTCCTTTCAAACATGAAACTCCCTTTCCCAAGATGGAATTTATGCTGCTCCCAGTCCCCACAGATGCTCTTTAACTCTTCTCTAGTGGCACAGGAAAGCAAACCAACCGTTATGAGAAGACTGACATAGTCTTCTTGTGCACCTACATAGAACCAAATACATTTAGCACTCAACTTCAAAAGTTTGGTCTCTGCTGTGATTAGTAAATGCTCATTTGCATACCAAAGGAATTAAACCTCCTCATCCTATTCTCATTACATCATAGTAAAACAGTCTCATCCTAATGCTGTCTGCGAACCTCATTTCAATTTCTTCACTCAGGGTAAACGGCACCTTGCTCTGTTTTCCCACTGCGCCACTTGATGCAATTAGCTCAATCTCCTGCTCTTCCAATTTGTTATTGCTAAGCTTGTTTTCTTTTTTTTTAGTAAAAAGCTTTCTTTCTTTTTTTTTTTTTTTTTTGTGAAAAACATACTGATAGTCAATTCAGGCTCTTATTGGAAAAATCTGATCATAATCTTGCTGCCACCCCCATCTCAGAAACAAGCTCTTGAACTCAAAAATGCAGGACAAATTGAAGCAAAAAAAAAAAAAAAATTGATACAATCTCTCACAGACCTCCTTTTAAGACTGAAAGTTCTTTCCAAACTATTTTTCCACACTGCTGTTTCTTTTGAATTACTTAATTCCAATTACACTGTGAATTGACCATACCCGTTCCTTCATTTGTGGCTCTCTGCTTCCTAGCGTAATGTATATTTTTGATATGATGTTCTATAAAACCTCCTTAAGTATTTCCCTGGTACTCAGATGCACTGTATTTCCAGAGGCAATTCTTATGAGAACAGCTAAGTCCCCGTGTCCAACCTTAGTACAAGTTCCATTAAAATTAAAAAAAAAAAAAAATCATCTACCAAGCAGCCCAATAAATGTAGTGTCTAGTGTAACCCAAAAGGAAGAACAATTAACTTGAAAATGGAAATAGCTTTAAATTGTAACAATGTGCAGTTTTGCAAAACAAAATATTTCACTGTAATTGCTTATTTTAAATGTGGAATTATATTCCTGTAATAACTGACATGTACAATATAAATGAAACTTAAATACAGGACTACAAATCCCTACAAAACCATTTAATTCATCATTCTTTTGTGAAAATAACTGAATGTCATGGTTTACTGAATCAAGCTTTAGCTGTATTTGTCTGTAAGGTTACCAAGTTTCATGGTACATGCTACTTCACCACTTTATTTTAGAGCAAGAGCTCTGAATAGAGCAACATATTGCGATAAAACATCTCCTCACAAGACTCTTCTTTCTTACCTCTCCTAATGACACTGAAAACCTTCTCAAGAATGGATCCTACACATCATTTTGTTTGTCAAACATATACCAGGAAAAGGCTGGGAGGTGCTGCTGCTGGAACCAACCAGTGTACTCTTTCAGGCTTCTGCTCTTTGTTAAGATTTTGGAAGAATCTGCCCATGTTATTAATGCAACTCTTCCATAGCAATAACAGAAACAAAATACTGTGTCCATGCTTGCATTCCCTTTCCTTTTCTCCACAGTGATGTTAGAGCATTTGCCGGCACTGCAGGAGCTGTTAATTTCTGCCAGCTGGTCTCTAAGCTGGAGTGTGTTTGAGTTGATCGTCAAGCACCCTGCCCAAGCTCCCCACCCTCACCTCCAACTAACTGGAGAATAGCCAGATGACCATACTGATTAGACATTTTTAAAGCAAATTTTTGTTTTTCCTGATATAACCATCTCATGTCTTTGCCTATCAATTGCATCTTATCTCAGCGTCCCATCCCTGACTAATCCAGAAGGGGACTTGACAGACTAAGCGCACAGACTACAATTCTCCTTTACAGAGAGCTGCCAATACTCTGCACTGGGTGGAGGATGAGATCATATGCCTGTATAGGAACCTTCTCCCTTAACACCAGCTGTATGTAAACATCTAAATCCTCTTAGAAGCACCCCTGACAGTTGTACTCTGAGCTCACTTATGATACAAAATACATTTTAATAGAAACATTTTTTAGAAAACATTTTTCTAATCACTTTCCTTAGGGAAATAGGTCCTGAATATCTTTCTACCAATTATATTCCCTCTGCAGAGTCTTTCCCCACCCCTATTTTTTCCTTTGGTCAAGAAAGGGGCTGTTAGCACTTTATGGGATATTTTAATGAAAAACAGTTGTACATATCATTCAGGTCCTCATGGGATATACCCATTATTAAATCAATTTTGTTGTTGTTGAGTTAGACTTATGTGAAGGTAGGATATTGGATTTCTGAGCAAGAACTCCGGTTCCAAGTTTAATGGAAAGTTTGGACTCCATACACTCAGGTGGTGTAATTTCCTTAATTCTATCCAAATACCTGATCAACTTGATATAACAAGCACTGGAAAACAGTAATTTATTTTACTTACCACTGCATGCTTTGGTACACTGTTTGTGGGAAGAATGTTGCATTATGTCCCTCGTGACTGAATTACCAACATTTGTCATCCACCTACCTCCTTGAAGCCAGGCTCCTCCTTGAATTTCACATATGAAATGCAACAGATAGATAGATAGGAGTTTAGCTAAATTCTTTCTTTTCAAGGCTCCAGGCACCTCAGAAGTTGTGACTCTCCTTAGCCACATCCCAGGAGCTCTCCATTCTCTGAAGCACTCTTGAAATCATTCAAAGGAAAAAGGGATCTTAAAGGTACTGAAAGATGTTTTGCAGAAGATGCATTGGTAATCAATACCAGTGAGCTTCTTCCTTCCCCAGAGGCAACCGACTTGACAGCAGGAGTTACTTGTAGTAAATATAAAATGCTAGGACCACCACACCTTGCCTATGTGTTTTTAGGCTGTGCAAAAGAAACTGGTATTCAGTCTCTTTGGGGAAGTCTTCCTCTTGCTGCAATATCTTCAGTAACATCTAATAAACATCTAAAAAGAGGGATACTAGCTTACACCTTGTATCCTCTGCATTTTATTAAAAGGAACACTCAATGCTCCCAGGTTTCCATGGAAAATCTTTGGCTTCAGATCAAATACAAGCTCTTCTGTCTTAAAAGCATAATTTCTCAACTAAATGAATTTAACTGACTCCATACTCAAAATAAGTGCCAGAGCTGAGAGAACAGAGGCTACCATCTTCATTTTCAGACACGGGTAGATCTACATATGCCAGAAACATAGGAACAATGAACAGTTGGTTATAGCAAATCTTAGCAGACGT